GTTTCGTTTTCGATATTACCGGAATACCGATGTCGTTTTCGTTTCCGACATTATCGTATCATTTTCGTTTTCGAGAAACAAATATGAAAGTGAAAATGGTTGAGCCCTATGCCGATCGTTTCCGATCGTTTTCATCCCTATATTTATCTCCTTTTATACAATTTTTATATATCTCTTTTGATACAGTCTTTACAATTTTTATTTATTTCAATCAAACGAACTTTTATTTTATTTCAATCAAAAGATATTACAGGTACAACCTCTATTTATCTCATGTGATACAATCTCAATTTATCTCTACCGATTCTTTTCTTCTTGAACTTGGATTTGGATCTTCGAAGATGGATTAGTTGTTTGGATCTCTTTCATCTTAAGTTTGAATTTGACTAACATCAATTTAGGAGTCAAATTACTTTCAAATTAATGTTATGGCTTAATTTGATTATTTTTTGTGAAGGATTTGGACTTAAAAGACATAGACGAAAAGGGCTTGAAAAGTTTTATCCAGAATTAAGCGCTATTTGGTTAAGCTCCACGAAGAACGTAGGTTCAAGACGTCTAGAGCATCGTTGATCTTCTTGGATTTGACTTTATAAGAATGAATGTCACCTCATTATTTCTCCGGATCACCGTCTTCTTGGATTTGACTTAATATGAGCGGATATCGCCTCTCTTTGTTAGGGAGGAACCACACTTACCATTCTTCTGGGTCTTTTTCTCCAATTAAATGCACTTTGGAGGTTATACGGCTTGATTCCGGATTGAACGACTTGGGATTGAACACCGTCGCCGCCTCTTTTTATTCTTCTCGGAAAGTGACGTTGAAACAAAACTGCGATACATAATAAATGTTTGGTATTTTGTTGTAAAGTTGAAAATGTTGAGTTTTATTTGCAATTACACTAAAAGTTGGGGTTTTATACGCAAATAACCCATAATCTTTTATATTTTAACTTATAACATTCGAATAAGTACAAGCTCAACAATTTTTTTAGGGTTTATTGCTATTTAAACATTTACCTTTCCGCGTTTGGGTTTAATCCAAACTTTTGGATAATTGCAAAATAATCCTGACTTTGGCTTCCTTTTGTAAAACGAACTTAATTTTCGTCAGAAATTCAAAAAATGCCAGCGTGTCCGACTGCTTATATCCACGTTGGATTTTCAATTTGCCGAATGGCCAATTTTTGTGACTGAAAACTTATGTGGCGATGACAAGGTTCATATGTGGAATTAATAAGTTAAGAAAAAAAATCCACCTCAATTAAAATTTTGAAAATGTGCCCTAGATTAAACCAATCAACAAATTAGAGCTTCTAAAAATGTGCCCCCACATTAAATCACACACTTATCCTAATAATCAATTTAATATAAAAAAATATAACAAAAAGGCAAAATAACTCCACCTCCTAAAACCTTCACGACCGTCCAGTTACCTTCTGCGGCCAAAAGCTCCTCCTCATTGGCGCAATCGCGGTGGAAGATCATGGCGCGACCCTCCTCACCAACTGCACCACCGAATTCTCCATTGGTCGGGCGTTCTTCCCTAGCCCCAGCCCCTTTCCGTCGAGATTGCTCCTTCTTGACCGAATTAGTGTAATCACTATCCACGCTGAAGGCCAACAATCCTAGTGACCTCAATGTCATTTGTGCTTGACGTCATACAATTCGAACCCTAACCCAACCAAAAACACAACCTTTGGTATCAATGAGGACTCTGTATAGCAGTAGCGTGGTTTGAGATGTATGTCAAGGTCAAAGAAGCCCAATTTGACCAAAAACTCCTCAATTGGGCCTCTAGGCCCGGAACGAGTATTCTAAGTCCTTGAATTACGAATTTTTGGGCTTTATATAAATCGAATATTGGGTGAAGATCTGAACTTACATATCGAGAATCTGACGACGACAGCGAGGTTGATGCCCATCGAGGAGAGGATGGTGGAGATTGGTGTTGAATGGAAATTAGTGTTTATGTAGAGTGCTTTAGTGGGGTTAGCTTTGATGGTTTCGAGGTAAAGGATCTTTTCCCGACATTTGATGTCAGAGCCACTGATGATGGCCGGAATAATGGCACCATGGTTGTCATTATGGAGATGTAGGGCTTTAAAGATTTGAATTTTTTTTTTTTATCAGGTTTAATTGTAGGGATAACTGTATAATTAAATCTTGAATTTTTCCAATTCCACACGCTTTATGTTTTCCTACTCAACAAACTGAAATTCTAACGTGGATATAAGCAGTCGGACACGCTGACATTTTAGAACCTCCGACGAAAATTAAGTTCATTTTGCAAAAGTAAGGCAAAGTCTGAATTATATTGCAATTATCTAAAAATTTGGATTAAATTGTCAAACGCAAAAGTAAATGTTTAAATAGCAATTAACTCTTTTTTTTTTTTTTTATTCTCCCCTCCAATTTTAAAAAGAAAAAAAAATGCAGAGGCCCTGACCAGTTCGTCGGGCCTGTTGCCGGTTCTGTATCTGGAACGCCAATTCAGCGAACCGGCCTGCACCTATTACCGTGCTGGTTTCGGTTCAACTAAAAAATGCTTACCGAAACTATCGATGGCCATGTCTAAAATTGGCTCAAGGAGATTTTATTAATCTTTATCGATGCACATCACAACTCGACTTTTTTCACCTCGAATCATTCTAAACGCCATTGCCAAAACCTTGAAGCTTGGTGTACCCAAATAAAAGAAAATAATAATAAAAAAACTTGAAGCTTGGTGGATCCACAACTGCAAGATACAAATACCTCTTTACATTGTTTTGAGTGATTTTTCCCCTCGATTAACGCTACAGAGAACCTCAATCTTTGCTATCCTGTTCATCCCGACCTGAGATCTTCCCGTAATTTTTCAGAGCCGGTTGTTCGTCGTGCGATCTAGGTTTTTTCACTGGTGGAAAGCTCGTAATCCGATCGCAGATGTGTCAATCTGATCAATTTCCGTCGTATCTCTGACTTTGTTTCGCGGATAAATCGCCGGAAGTGTAATGGAGTGGACAACGGTGCAGCATCTGGATCTCCGGCACGCGGGTCGGAGCTCCAAGCCTTTGCAGCCCCACGCCGCTGCATTCCACCCCACGCAGGCTCTTGTCTCCGCCGCAATCGGCACTTACATAATTGGTACGCCCTCTTTTTGCCAATGTTGAGTTTGTGGTTTCGTAGTTAGTAATGGGGTGTGGATTGAACTTGTTTCCGTGTGGAGTGCAGAGTTCGATGCGTATACGGGGAGTAAGATTGCCTCTGTGGACATAGGCTCGCCTGTTGTCCGCATGGCGTACAGTCCCACAGCTGGTCACTCATTGATCGCTATACTTGAGGTCAGTGCTCTCTGTATTTCACATTTCACTTCAGTTGGCATCTTATTTAAGAGTCTAAGATTGAGATGTTATGAGTTTAATTTGATCTGTTGTCGTTCGCCTTCATATTGCATATTGGGGCTGAGGATGAAGCAGTTGAGATAGGATTAAATGTGTTAGTTGGAGTGTGCAGGGAAGAGGCAAATAAAGTTTTAAAACACGTAATGGCTGGAATAGGCCCATTTCTGATGCCCTCGATCTACTTATCCACTCTGTGCTTTCTAAACATTATGGGATTATGTGGTGTATGATTCATGTATAAGATTCCGTCTGTTTATATATTGGATTTTTGCTCCTCATACGCTCATGGAACTGGACTTTGAAAAGACGCCCTGCTCGTTTCTGAATTGCCTCGATGACTTTATTGATCACCTTTCAATTGAAATTGAAAATTTGATAGTAGTTGAATTATAATCAAATGAGCTGCAAAAGATAATTCCTTTTCTTGTTCCTGTTGTTGGAGCAAATTTTCTGTTTTGCTATTCATTTAATGCCGAAGCTTCTGCTTTCTTCTTATATTCTCTTTTGTGATAGAAAAGTTTGAACGATAGCAAAATCTCAAAAATCCCGTGTATCCGTCTCTGATTACAAAGTGTCATGTATTATTTAGTAATTTTTCTGCTTTGCCATTCAAATTATTTCAGTACAGAAATTATAAAAATTGTTAATATGGTCTCCTCCTCACGTGTGGATGATTTCTGTTTTGTGTACAGGATTGCACTATCCGGTCTTGCGACTTTGATAGTGAACAAACTTGTGTGTTACACTCACCAGAAAAGAGATCAGAACAGATATCTATTGACACCGAAGTCCATCTTGCCTTGACTCCTCTTCAGCCTGTTGTATTTTTTGGTTTTCATAAAAAGATGAGCGTAACAGGTTATTCGAACTTTATCTTATTTCATTATTCTGATTTTCCTAAATGTGTAAGGAGATTATCATTCCATGGGATTTGGAGAACTAATGAGCTAACGAGGTGCTTGCGCGTTTGTGGGTGGGGTTGGTTTTAGTTGAACATAATGACATGGTGAAGTTGCACACAATTAGCATGGTCCTTCTTGCTCTTGTATTTGTAAAAAGATGATGAGAAGATGCAAGTAGATGTCCATGTCTGTATGATGTAGGAGCCATTATCACCTGGCACCCATGCAACTTTTCATTTGTGAATGTCTATTTATGACCTGCAACAGTTATTAGCTGTTCGTATATCTGGTTTGGTATGGGGTGGGGGGTGGGGTGGGGAGAATAGTTAATTTATACTTCATTGGTGTGGTCCTCATATGATTAGAACAACCACGTTTCCGCCATTTAGTAAGAATATCCAAATGTTGTTGTTGGCATGATAATGGTTGTGGCCTGTTCCACTGCTTTATAGAAAATGTATCAGGAGCTGAAGAGGATGATAGCTTTCCTTTATTTAAGAACCTAATGAGTGTCAGTGTGAAAAAATTCATCCAAGAGTGCATACTATGTACTATGGTGACAAATGTGGCACAAATGTAAAAACTTATTTCAGAATGCTAGATTCTCTTTCTAACTAGGAAATTGCATTTGGAAGAAACAAGTTTCAGTTCTTCAGTGTGTATCTGCTACATAATTGTGTCGTGTTCTGTTGTTAAATATTAAAACTGACCTGTAAGTCTGATGCAGATAATTGTTTCAAATTTCTTCTCGAAACAGAGTACTTAAATTATCCTGTTCTTTTCTCCTCGTATCCCTAATTAAAAGTTGTCAGTTGTCACTAGTTGCAATCAACTCAAAATAGTATGACAGCATGCATCTTATTCTGGTTGCAATTACTATTTTAGGATCTTTTGAATTATTCTGCTTACCTTATGCTGAATTTATAATGTTTTGCTTTGTGTCAAGTTGTTGGAACTGTGGTAGGAGGGAAAGCTCCTACTAAAATAAAGACAGACCTGAAGAAACCTATAGTTAATCTCGCTTGCCATCCTCGCCTTCCTGCCTTGGTGAGAATATGCCATCTTAAAAGTCCACATTGTTCTGATTACAACCATTTGCTTGTGTATAGTAGTTCATATCACCTTTGGGGCTGATATTTGTATCTTCCTTTCTGTTACTAGTATGTGGCTTATCAAGATGGTCTGATAAGAGCTTACAATATCCATACATATGCTGTTCACTACACCCTACAACGTAAGAACTCCACAACCTTTCTGACCATGTACTATTTTTTGGCAGACTACATGATAATTTAGTCTTATTCAAATTTCCTTTCAAATTGTACTTTTACCTAATTGAAACCTTTTCAGTTGACAATACAATTAAGCTACTGGGTGCTGGTGCATTTGCATTCCATCCAACATTGGAGTGGATTTTTGTGGGTGATAGAAGAGGTACAGTTTTGGCATGGGATGTATCTACCGAAAGACCTTTGATGATTGGAATGTAAGCCGTGCCTATGCCGTTCATGATATTTTATTCTGTAAATACATATTTACCAATTAGTTATAGCCTTTTGTGCTTACTTCGATAACTGTAGGGAAATGCGCAAACTATAAATCTCTTCAATCTCCTGTGCAGTTCAGCTGTAGTACAGAAACTCTATTCATGATTGTATTCTGTCAACCTCATAGTATTAGGAATTTTGCAATGGTTCTTCTGTTCTTAATTTGTGTACTGATGGGATCTGCGGTGATAACAAGATTACCATACACAAGTTGAATAGCATAAGCAAGACCTTAAGTAAGTTGAGCTTATTAAGATTTTAGATGGCATAAAACATAACCCTTTGCACCTCTGATGGGCCACGAATTGCCCAATTCTAATGCCTCGTGGCAAAAGGTAACCTATGCGGCATGGAAAATGTCTCGAAGTTCTTTCTAGATGCAGAACTTACTAGACATCTTCTGTTCAATGTTCTATTCTTTCTCCTCATTATTTTTCTTGTCCAACCAGTTATATAGCTTCCACGTGTTAGATTATTGCAAAATCCACATTAAACATTGGAGATGCAATTTCTTATTTCATTTTCTTCATATCATACATCTCAAAATGGACATTGTGCTATTGAAGATGCTTTTAGCCTATAGAGTAAATGTGGTAAACTTTCACACTTCAAAATTTGTAGATTCAGTATTCTGGCTATTTTTTCTCAACTGTTTTTGGAATTCTAACGCCTATTTCTGTTCTTGAACTATGTTTTTTTTTCATTTGCAATGTGTAATTGTAGCACGCAAGTTGGTTCTCAACCAATCACATCAGTTTCTTGGCTGCCGATGTTGCGGTTGCTAGTCACTTTGTCCAGAGATGGAAGCATCCAAGTCTGGAAAACTCGAACAAATGTGAATCCGAACAGACCTCCGATGCAAGCAAATTTTTTTGAGCCTGCTGGTAAGTTGAGAACTATAGTTCTTTACTTCAACGGTATATTCCTGCTTAAATAGGCAGATATCATGCTTTTAGAGGTCTGATAGGTATGACATGATTTTTTTATATTCTTTATCTGGGCAATATTATACAAGCACTACAGTGATTCTTGAATGTCCTTTTCACTGGGAAAAGATAATTTTTCATCGTGCTGAAAGCAATTTTTTAAGAGATAAATGTATAGTTAAAGACATGATTATTATTCCATTGTGATTACATTTTACTCTGGAGACATTTTTGTCACCAGAGTTTTGTTTTAAATACAACCAGAAGCTACATTTTATAATATAATCCTGACTGCATTTTGGCAGAAGATTAACCATTGGTCTCTTCATTAACTTTTTTGCTCTTAAACTAACAATTTGCTGATTGATACTCTTCATATGTTATTCTGCAGCTATTGAATCTATAGACATCCCTCGCATTCTATCTCAGCAAGGTGGAGAAGCTGTATATCCTCTCCCACGAATAAGAGGTTTAGAAGTGCACCCAAAATTGAATCTAGCAACACTACTTTTTGCAGTAAGCATACTTGGACTCACCTTCATTCACATTATGAGATTGTTATGTAGTTGGAATTAATTTGTGTGATTCTTTATAGAACATGACTGGTGGAGACAACCGCAAGAACAGAGCTGCATACACTAGAGAGGGGCGTAAACAACTCTTTGCTGTTTTGCAAAGTGCGAGAGGATCATCAGGTGATTGCTTAATTAGATAAGGCTTATGCACTGACAGGTTTGGCGATTGGATCTGAAGTATATTCGCTTTGTATTCTGATCAATATTTTTCTTTACCTGTAATCCAAACTCTTGTTCTGTAGTTATTTCATTAAGATCATTTCTTTCTGGTGAGTTTTGTTGTGAGTCTGACATATTTCTAAGAGAGATATTAAATTGCTGGAGTCCTGGTGCATTATGTTTTTATAGTCCATCAGCTGGCAGGGTTTTTTTTTTTTTTTTGATCGGTAAATAAATTTTATAGATCAAAATTGATTTTACATCGACTGTCTCGCGGCACACAAGAGCAAAGTGGGTAACCACAATTCGGTCCCTCACTCGCTAATCAAAATGTGTTTGTTTTTGTGAAATTTTATAGATCAGCTGGCAGGTTTTTCGACTAACTGTGCTTGTTTTTGTGAAATAACTATGCACAATCGTCCCCTCGTTATATCCTTTACACCCCAAAGTGATTGCTTGTGGAAATACAGTATTAATTTTTTCATTCCCTTTTGGTTTCTCAACGATCACATCTAATCACTATTAACACTACAATCATCAGATCAACTTTCACCTGCACATTTCCATCACATTTCCTGCCACTATCTCAGAAAACTTTTCCAAAATATATTTGACACGGCTCTCTAAAAATGTTTTGTTATTATTTATAGATTCATTTCTACATATTAGAAATATTGCAATCCTAATCATTTACTTTAATTCTGTTCCCTTCTATTAGGAAATTCGAATGACACTATTTGGTATTTGATACCTAATATTATTTTTGTTATGCAGCTTCTGTATTGAAGGAGAAGCTTGCTGCACTAGGTTCATCTGGTATATTAGCTGATCACCAGCTGCAAGCCCAACTGCAAGAGCACCATGCGAAAGGGTGAGTAAGTTGCTTGGTGAGTTGTGAAATACACTACAGTATAATTAAGATACTGTTAATTAAGATAGATAACAAGTAATGAAGTTGGTTTTCAATTAGTACCGATTAGCTTAATCAAGCACGGTAGTATCCATCTTGCTTTAATCGTGCAAGGGTAAATATCTAGTTTAAGGATTAGTTGATCGTGATTGTGTCAGCCTAATTTTTATGAATTTGACAGCCATAAGTAGAAGAAAAATGTAGTCATACATATGATATCCTGTTAAGTATTGAAGATTACAAATAGAATGGCAGAATGTGCAACCAGACCCTGGGGATGCTTAGTTGAATTTGAGTGGACCTGGGGATGGGTGGGGAGGGTGGTGTGGGGAGGGGAGGTGGGGTGGTTGCTTATTTGGCCACAATCAGTTCCTGTGCTGCTTGGTAAAACTTCATAATGAGCTCCATATAGCTGATTGGGCCTAAGGTTTACAAATTTGTAACAATTTCCTGTTTGAGCATTTTTCTTTTTTATATTTCTTTAAAAATGTATTTTATTTTTTCTAGATCCTTTTCTCAATACCTTTTCTGTCTTGTTTCTTTTTTTTTTTTATGATGATATTCTAGTGGTGACATCATTGACATTTTATTTTTTTATTTTTGGTTAGAGAAAGTCAGCTTACAATCTCAGACATTGCAAGGAAGGCATTTCTTTACAGTGTATGTTAGTTTCTTTCTTATGTGTTTCTTGTAGGCAGTTTTTATTCTGTGGATATATCTTGCATATATGGTTATGTACCTGAATAATGAGTTTTCAAGCTATAACTTGGACTTATGTAAGTTGAGTTCGTAGTTTTATATTACATATAAGCTATGATACTGTTGAGATGAATCCATTTTTAGGTAAAGAGGAGAGGCACGCTGCCCAACATTGAATCTAATATAAAATTTGCATAACAGTTGATTGTTTGGGAGACATAAAAAAGTAGTTGTGCTTTGTGTGAAGACATAGGCGTCGATTGGATATAGATTAAATCGGTTATGATCCATCTTGGTGAGTTAAAATGAGTTATCTTGAATAAAGTAGATTTAAAATTAAATAACATGTAATGATTAAAGTTGATATGATGTGAAAGTAAGAGAGAGATTATAAGAAGTGCTAGGTAGTAATTAAAGTGGATGTGATGTCTGTGAATGATTGATTGATATTATTTAATTACATTTATAATAAGTAGGAGAGTTAGGTTGAGTTGGATTTTGAATTAGATGATTGGATATGAAATAACTCAACTGGTTATAACCGGTTGAGTTGGATCATAACTCATATCCAATCACGCCCATAGTTCTTGTTTGGGAGAACTTTATAGTCCATTTTATTTCAAATTGACATTTGTAAAATGGGTTTTTTTTAAAAGGTCCCATCTTTTACTTCTCTAGAATGGAATATTTGGAGTACCAACTTACCCATAAGTCCATTATGAATTTAGCACTAAACATGAATTAATTATTCAGATGGACTTTTAGATATAAAAGTCATTTGAGAAGTGGTTACAAACAAGCTGTTAATGTTCTTGCAAAATGTGTCAGGAGGTACTTTATTAACCTACAGTCGTAGTAGTCGTATTTACTTCTTGAAGCATTTTGATAGTTGTCTATCAGGTTTAGATGGAAATGCAGTACATTCAAACAAATTATTGAAGGATCTTTCTTTGACCTGCTTTGGAATGGACCCTGACAATTGCTATCTGCTACTGGTAGATATCGATCTATCATTAAACTTACCCCTAAAACTAAATCAACTGTAGACATTCTTCCAATTCAATCTAGATTGCAGGTCATAATTATGGCATCTATTTGTTTTATTCAAATTAATCTGGATGAGTTTTCTTCTCCAATCTCCATAACAACTGGGATTCCATATGATTGTTCATATTCTCTTACATTATCTTAGCATTTCAATTAATATTTTCATGCAAATTACGTTGATACCTACATGTTAACTGTTCATCGCGTATAGATGGCTTGAAGTCACTGAATGAAAGCTGCTTCTGTACCTCTTGTGTCCCTGTTGGTGAATTTTATTATCTCTTTTTTGCACAGCATTTCATGGAAGGCCATGCAAAGAGTGCTCCAATATCTCGTTTACCTCTTATTACTATTATGGAGACAAAACATCAATTACGAGACTTCCCTATTTGCCAGGTAGTTGAATTAAGTTATTTTCAGGTTAGCATTCATTTATCATAAACCTTTAGATTGGCTAGACACTGACTTAAACTCAATTTGGCAGCCAATTCATCTAGAGCTAAATTTTTTCAGCAAGGAGAACCGAGTTCTTCATTATCCTGTCAGAGCTTTTTATATTGAGGGGCCAAACCTGATGGCTTATAATCTCACTTCTGGAAGTGAAAATATCTACAAAAAGCTTTACGCTACGGTAATATTCAGTTACTTGTTTGTACTATGTTATTCTGTTACCTCTGATCTGTGAGAATATGGACCAAATCTTCTCTTCCCAGATTCCTGGTAATGTCGATGTTCAACCAAAATACATTTCCTACAGCAAAAAGCAGCACATATTTCTTGTAGCCTATGAGATCAGTGTTGGTGGAAACGAGGTGGTAATGTACTGGGAAAATACAGATCCTCAGTTTGCGAATAGCAAAGTTACCACAGTCAAAGGTGTGTACTGTCATTGTACATTAGTATTGTGTTAAATATTGTGCTCAGTGCTCATGTCGTTCGGCGTAATCTTTCAGGTTCGGATGCAGCTTTTGTTGGTCCGACTGAAAATCAATTTGTTGTCCTTGATGACGATAAGACTGCACTTTCCTTATATTTGTTGCCTGGCGCTGCCACACAAGCACTTGAGAAAAATGGGTCTTTCAATGAAAACCAGTCTGTGGAAACTGAAGTTGCGTCTATTAAGGGTCCTGTGCAATTTATGTTTGAAAGCGAAGTGGATCGTATCTTTTCTACTCCACTAGGTGCTGAAGGAAGAACTGGTTTTCAGTTTATCCATACTTGAAAATTTTCTATATTCTGATCCAGGGTTCATCTTTTGTAGAGTCAACTGTAATGTTTGCTTCTCATGGAGATCAGATTGGTTTTGGGAAACTGATCACCGGGTACCGTCTTCCTAGTGCTGATGGGCATTATATCCCTACGAAAGCTGAAGGGCGGAAGTTCATTAGATTGAAAGTAAATGAGACTGTACTTCAGGTAATTGTTCAGTTGTTAATCTTGTGTTACTAACTCTACCTTCTATTTTGTCTTAAGTGCCTGCCTTGCCTTCTATAATGCCTGTGGGATCCAGACTTGCTAAATTGTATTGCTGAGCATGATGTTGCTCAACTAGCTCAGAAATCTACTATTTCAGTTTATTCATAATTTTGTCGCAAGTAAAGTGATAGATGAGCAATATTATAATTGTTATTTTAGAGATTCTTTCGTGTAGCCTACTAGCCCCAATAGTTGACGCAATCTTACAATGTCCACTGCTACATGAAGAATATTAGCATGGTATTGATGTGCAGTGAATAACTTCTGCTTTTGTGGTTTTCTTTTGCCAGTCATAAATCATGGATGGAGAAATTAACTGTTTGTGATTACGAGCTGAATGAGAAAGATTTTTTAATGCAGATGTGATGTTTTAATGGTTCCATGCCACAAGTTGGTTGGAAGGTTCTCATATATCTTTCCAATTTTCTTGCTTAGGTACAATGGCAAGAAACACTCAGGGGCTTTGTAGCTGGTATACTGACCACACTACGAGTGCTCATTGTTACCGCTGATTTAGACGTGTTGGCTTGTAGTTCTGCCAAGTTTGACAAAGGACTTCCTTCAATATCCTTTACACTAACTGATATATATCTCAAGAACCCAACATACACACATACCCCCTCCCGATACACACACGCACAAAATAAATAAATAAATGAGTCAATTCACCATTATTTTTTGTAACTGCTTGTAGTCTGCTACCTTTTTCCTTATATTTTTCATGTTTAAAGCATATGTGTGCCCTTAACCCTTCCTTACTATAGATCCCTGCTGTGGCTTGGGCCAGCACTTCTTTTTTCCACTTCTACTTCTGTAAATGTGCTTGGTTGGGATGGAAAAGTTAGGACCATACTCTCTACCTGTATGCCTAATGCAGGTTGACCAACTTATTTTTTTACAAATTGGGAATTCTCATATGATTGAATTATCAAACACTGATGTTACTAAATATTTACAATTAGGATTTTTCCAACTTCTCTGAGCTTTGTAATTGGCTGCCTCAATACAGTGTTGCTTGGAGCTTTAAATGATCGTCTGCTACTTGTAAACACAACTGAGATAAATGTCAGACAGAAGAAGAAGTTTGAGATTAAGAATTGTCTTGTTGGGCTGCTTGAACCCCTTCTCATTGGATTTGCAACAATGCAGCAACATTTTGAGCAGAAGCTCGATCTGTCAGAAGTCCTATACCAAATAACATCAAGGTTCCTTATGTAGCTTACTGACATACTTCGCTGTAGTCAACTCTTACAGTTCAATGATAAAAATTTTTTTTGCCCTTATATCTCATTTGTCTGCAAAAATGTAATTTTCAACAATGCTGCAAATCACTGTTTACTGACACAATTCGTATTTTCTTACTGAAGGTTTGATAGTCTGCGTATTACTCCAAGATCACTCGATATTCTAGCCAGAGGTCCTCCAGTTTGCGGTGATCTTGCCGTATCGTTATCACAGTCAGGCCTGCAATTCACTCAGGTGCATTTATCTACCATTTTTGTTAATCAGAATCAGAAAATCACATTCTTTGTTAACCCTGTACTTTTCCGGGCTCAGGTCTTGAGAGGAATATACGCAATCAAAGCACTCCGTTTTTCCACTGCTTTATCTGCACTGAAAGATGAGTTTTTGCGGTCTAGAGATTACCCTCGTTGCCCCCCCACTTCACATTTGTTCCACCGGTTCCGCCAGTTAGGATATGCATGCATCAGGTATGTAACAATTACAAAATCCTGGAGCCACTAATGCGCCCTTCAGACGTAATGTGATTTTGCTGTACCTCTCAGATGCATGTTCCCCTCCTTCAATTGCAGAAGTTTTACAGCTATCATCTTCACACAGTGAATTGACATCATAACATGTTACAATGTACAGGTACGGTCAGTTCGACAGTGCAAAAGAGACCTTCGAAGTCATAGCAGACTATCAAAGCATGCTCGACCTCTTCATCTGCCACCTCAACCCCAGCGCGATGCGTTATCTCGCCCAGAAGCTAGAAGAGGAGGGCTCTGACCCTGAACTGCGTAGACACTGTGAGCGTATCCTCCGCGTCCGCTCGACCGGGTGGACCCAAGGCATCTTTGCCAACTTTGCCGCAGAGAGCATGGTCCCCAAGGGCCGCGAGTGGGGTGGCGGAAACTGGGAGATCAAAACCCCTATGAATCTTAAGGACATACCCCAGTGGGCTCTGGCTGCTGAGGTTATGCCTTACATGAGAACCGACGACGGCACTATCCCATCCATTGTGACTGACCACATCGGAGTGTACCTTGGCCTCATGAAAGGTCGGGGAAACGTGGTCGAAGTCAGAGAGGACAGCCTGGTGCGAGCCCTGAAATCCGACACTGGCACTGGCACCGGCACCATTAAGGACAACGGGGCCCACATGCCTTCTGTGTCCTCCGATCCCAAAATCGGATCCCTCATGGGATTGGAGACACTCTCCCAGCAGTCTACGGCTTCCAGTGCTACTACTGATGCACAGGCAAAGGCTGAGGAGGAATTCAAGAAATCCCTCTACGGCTCGGCCGGCGGCAGTAGCAGTGATGAGGAGGAAGGGGGAGGAGCTGCCTCCAAGGCCAAGAAGCTGCACATACGTATTCGGGACAAGCCGGCCTCGTCGGCCACCGTGGACGTCAACAAAATTAAGGAGGCCACGAAGCAGCTGGGTGTTCCCATGGGTCGGACCAAATCACTGACCGGATCGTCCCCGGATCTTGGCCTGCTTATGCCACCACAGTCTGCTCCACCCGTTTCCAGTCAGGCGACCTCTGTCCCGGCCGATCTCTTTGGGACTAGTTCGCTGGTAATGCCGCCGGCATTGCCGCCGCCGCCTGCTTCCGGGAGACCCGGTGTTGGGGTTGCCGTGGGGCCTATACCAGAAGACTTTTTCCAGAACACTATCTCATCAGTTCATGTTGCAGCATCGCTGCCGCCAGCGGGGACGATCCTGTCGAGGTTGGATCCTAATGCTCAGAACAATATGGTGCCGAATGCTCAGGCCAGTGCGGCTGTGGCTGTGGAGGCCGAGGTTGGTCTGCCTGATGGTGGGGTGCCTCCCCCCTCTCAAGTGATGAGTCAGCAACAGCAGCAGTCTGTTCCATACGGGGCATCCATTGGGCTTCCGGACGGTGGTGTTCCGCCACAATCATTGCCTGAAGCTGCTGCCCCGTCTCAGCCGCAGCAGATCCAGATGGTGGCAGGGGCTACTGTTGCTAGTCAGCCACTCGATCTTAGCTCTCTTGAAGGTCCGGGGTCGGAAACATCTGGAATATATCCTGCCCGTTCGGCTTCTCCTCCGAAAGCTGTGCGTCCTGGGCAGGTAGAATATCTTTTTTCCCCCTATTTCGCACTCTCTCTCTCTTGAAATTACCCATTATATTAAATAGGAATGGGGAACCTTGACATGATTTTGACTCTGAAAATTCATAAACCCTAAACCCCAAGGGTCTTGTTGGCTGGGTCGGGGATGAGTGGCTTGAAATTAGAATTTGTTCAAAATGTTGCGGTGTATCCTTTTTCTTCCAGGTACCCCGTGGTGCCGCCGCAGCAGTTTGCTTTAAGACTGGACTCACTCACTTGGAACAGAATCAACTCTCAGATGCGTTATCGTGTTTTGATGAGGCTTTCCTAGCGCTGGCCAAGGATCAATCACGTGGAGCTGACATCAAAGCTCAAGCTACTATTTGTGCCCAGTACAAGATTGCCGTTACCCTCCTTCAGGTGATATGTTTTTCTTTTGCTGTCAAGTTTTGTTATATACTATAAAATATCTTACTTCCTACACTTTATTCCAACTGGGTCCATAAATGTGAATTGATAGAAATTCTTAATGCAACGACAAATGATTCAAGCATATATTGTATTTTACCTGGAGTCCTTTTTTTTTTTTTTTCTTTTTTGAAGATTTATGTTTCTATTTTTACTTTTTCACTAGTTAAATCCCCGTATTCTTTTCATTGTTTACAGGAAATAAACCGACTGCAAAAAGTCCAAGGCCCAAGTGCAATCAGCGCAAAAGACGAGATGGCTCGATTATCGCGCCACCTGGGCTCATTGCCTCTCCTTGCTAAGCACCGGATAAATTGCATTCGTACTGCCATCAAGCGAAACATGGACGTTCAGAATTTCGCCTACGCCAAACAGATGCTTGAGTTACTGCTGTCCAAAGCACCAGCAGGCAAGCAAGACGAGTTGAGAAGCCTGATTGACATGTGTGTCCAGAGGGGTTTGACCAACAAATCCATCGACCCACTCGAAGATCCTTCCCAATTCTGTGCTGCTACACTTAGCCGTCTATCGACCATCGGTTATGACGTTTGTGACCTTTGTGGGGCCAAATTTTCTGCTCTATCTGCTCCTGGTTGTATTATTTGTGGCATGGGGAGCATTAAAAGATCCGATGCCATTGCTGGCCCCGTTCCTTCACCTTTTGGCTGAGGGGTTGATTATAGAATATCACACAATTTACTATTTCCGTCTTTTTTTTTTTTTTTTTTTTTTTTTTTTTTTTTTTTTTTTTTTTTTTTTTTTTTTTTTTTTTTTAATCGTTGAATAAATTTATATTGATCAAAACGTAAAGCATATAACCAAAGCGGCTTTCAAGAGCGTAGCGGGTAGCCATAAGTCCGCTCCTCACTCGCAAGAATAAAAATAACGAGGACAACCACAATCCGGTTGCTCACTCGCGTAACAAAATCGTCCAAATGCAATCACACTTCACAACAACCAACTCAAAAATTACCGAGACACCTCTCGAATTCGGTCAAAACATTCAGGTAAATAGCAAAGATAGGTTGATAGACATGAGTCTTTACCTTTCTAATCACGAGGCTTGGAGGTTGGCTTTCATTCTCAAAGATCAACCGGTTCTCGCATTCCAATAAAAGTACACGATTACCGCAAGCGCTGCTTTCTTTAATTTGGCTCTCCAAGACGTGCCTTTTCCTTCTTTTTTGGTCCATTTAAGGGCGTCCTTGAGTGTGATTGGCCTATGTCGGAGGCTCACACAAGTTCGAATTTCACTCCATATTTCCGAGCTAAAGGGGCATTCGAAGAAGAGGTGCTTCGAGGATTCGTTTTCGACTCCACAAAGGGGGCAAGTCGGGTCTTCATTGAGGAATTCAAGGTGATCTCTCGTTTGGAATCTATTCATCACTCCAAGCCATAAGATGAAGGAATGCTTGGGGGTGTTGCAACACCCCCAAACAACCCCGGTCCATGGATTCTCGATACCTTTGGGACAGAGGAAATCATAGCACTTGCTAGTACCATCTTGTTTATCACGAGAGCTCCAAGTAGGGAAAAGGCCTTCCGCACCACGAACACTACCCGCTTTCTCTATCAAGCCTTGTCGGACTTCAAAGAGAGATTTGATTATAGCTTTCATAAGTTGAAGCATATATAGATAATTCCAAATCAATATGACAGAAAAAATATCAATAAACTTTTTTCTCTCAAATCTCCACCTTCCCTTTAGTCCCTTCACACATTCTTCATCCGCTAATATCAGGAATATTAAAAAAAAAAAAAAAAAAAAAAAAAAAAAAAAAAAAAAAAAAAAAACAACTCCATGACGCTATTTAGGTACTAGATTTTTTTTTTTTTTTTAAACTATGGATATTTCGGTTCAATAAGAAAATTCTTGACTAAATTTTGGACAACAAATGTTCCAACACTATGAATAATGAATTGAGAGAACAATGCCTTTTGGTACATTAAGGAGGGAAAACAAATAAAAAGGCACAAACAAAGCACTGCATTCCCTCATATTAGTCCCCGAGAAACTTGCGCTTCTTTGATGTATTCATGTAAGGCCTGATGACCCACTCAGTTTGGGCTTCATCTTGATCCATTGTTCCCAATTTGATCTACATCAAAAGAAACAGCGTTACGACTGATAAAGAATCAACAGAATCGCATCACGAGTGATAAAGCATCAATAGAGTTGCATAACATGTGACGAAAAATCCACTAGGGTCGCTAATTAACATCTACTACTAAAAATAATTACAGTGATGAGCACGCTCGATTAGAGAAGACTACTTGAAAACAAAGAAAACAAGCAACAGAGCATTCACTAGAAAATATCTTTTATCAGATGCCATTGGTAGAGAACATGACAAACTATGTAATAAAAAAACCTGGTAAAGCCGCATTTCAAAGCGAGGGCCAATTTCCTTCAGTTCAATTGATTTGGGACCCCCGCGTTTCTCATAGATATGATGTCTGCATTAATCAGTTAGTTAGGACCATAAAGTGGGAGAAATGATAATATCATGTCTTTCAAAATGCTCTACGTTCTTTTGAAATTGATGCTAATATTGGCACTTGGCATATTGAAGTACTGCCCCTAACCTCTTAAAACATACACTTCATTAAGATAACCAATTAGATAATGGAAAAGAATAATAAGTATCAAATCAACTATCCCCTTCTATTTGAGTTCTAACAAAAAAATTGGTGGTTGTAGATTCGGCCAAAAAATGTAAAAATCGAACTAACCTGAAAGAAATGAAATCAGACTGATTTGCGAAAGTGATTATACGTTTCGTATCTGGTTTTGGTACAGGAAAAAGATATTTCAAAATATTTGCTGTCCGCTGACCAAGCTGCAGACAATTAACGAATTCACATCAATTATTGCATTACATCAGTTATCTGGCTGCTGAGAATCAACAAATACACATCAATTATTTTCTTTCTTAAGTAATATGCCAATGCCATGGTTGGCGTTGACCGATGCAACTATTTTACATTATAGTTACAATGCATGAAACATATCAACAAGGACGACTTTTGCAAGTATTATCAGCAAAAACTTTAACAATATAACAGTTCCAACAAACAGTCACTCACTTTCTGGTAAAAATAACTTGGAAAACTTCATCTTTTGTTTCGATCGTCCAATAAAAAAGAAATCATGTACAGGTATCAGCCTAAGAGTGAGTATTTAAACTATACTAGCAATTAAACTGATAGATACCAAACTGCAAATAGTTAAATTATTTCAAAAGGCAGACACCAGCTGATGATTATATGGAGACAACAGAACGTACCCACCAAAGTTCCCAATTCTCATGCAACTACATTTAGAATTCAGGCGTTGAAACAAATCGAATACATCAACAAATAACATTAATGAAATATCACAACCTTAGTAGAAAAATTTTCCAGAATCAAATGTGGGTAAGCCTCAGGCATCGTACCAATTGCCTTTTTGTCCTTGATGTCGTGTCTCGTTACCTACATGAGATCGCCTTATCAAGATATTAGTATATTACTTAGGAAAGAGAGTATGAAGCATTGCACGGCCGAAAGCAAATTTTACCTACCACATTATGCAGTCCAAAGTATGCAGTGGGACCAAAAGGTAGATGGGTTATGATCATACCATCTGGCACACCGCGATGTTCATGAACTAAAATAACATCCGTAAAATCATGTGTCCGGCAGGTTTCAATTATTTCTGATATGACCTGAAGAGGACAGAATCAGCTTAACTGTTCACATTGGCTTGAAATTGATCAAAGAGATCTAACATAAGCACACTAACATATTTGTCATGTCACTAATCACATAAAATTCAATCCACACAAATTTTATGACTAATTCTTAGTGACATATTTCACTTACTTTAATGAGACAATTGCAATATGTACACTGAAAGCAGTTGTGCAGTATCACATACAAAAGAGTAGAAAACTGAAAAGGATACGTTAGAGAGAGAGAGAGAGAGAGAGAGAGAAAGAAAGAAAGAAAAGAGAACAGAAAAACCCCCAAGACTGATGAACGAACCTGACCACCACGGTTCATTCCTTGTGCGTTTGGAAACACAATCTTCAATTCCTATAGAAACACTACAACATCATCACACACATGGCATAAAAACACACAACAACAAAATCCAAAGGAAAATAGTAGAAAAAAGGAAAAATGCGACAATAAAATTGACAGCTGAATACCTTCACAAACTGTGTCAGTGGAGCACTCGGATTTCGTGAAGTTGTAAGCAAAATCTTAGGATCTCTATCGGCCGCATTTGCATATTCATCATCAATTGTCGAACGGGGAACTATGTCCAATACACCCAATCAAACAAACAATTCAGATTAACATGTAAACTCAGATACCCACAACATTCACCGAGCCCAAGAGCTCCATTCCATCAATGACTCCATCTACCAGGCAACCACCAAACAAAAAAAGAAACCCTAATATCCCAATCATCACCGTTGCATAATCACAAACCAACACCACAACCCCTAGATTTAACTAACTCCCTTCTAAACAACACCACAAACTGCTTCCTCATACCAGAAAAAAGTAGACTAAAAAATAAAAATAGATCAAACGGAATTAAAAATGAAACAAAACAAAACCCATTGGCAGCCATAATTTGCACTAAACAAGCTCTATAGCAGTAGTACCGGCAGTATTTTCATCTTCGAGGTCAATTTCCTGGCGGAGCGCCGCCTCTTCGTTTCTGAGCTCGGTCGGGATCGGTTTTCCCTCTGTTCAACAACAAAATTAGAAGCTAAAATCAACATAAAAAAATAATTTTTCAACAAAAAAAAAAAAAAAATCGGCCTTTAATTATCGTCGATTTTGAGTCCACAAAAGAGGAATGGAAGCAATGACCTGCCAAAGCTTCGCGAATTTTGCGCTTCTTCTCGTAGAGCAAACGCTCTTTGCCCTCCAAGCTTTTCCGATAGAGGTACTCCCTCCTCAGCCTCACGTTCCTTCTCAACATTTTCCCTTTCAGTGCTAACAAAACCCTAGATTATTGAGTTGCAGTCGGGGTTTAGTTAAACCTCGAAAGCCGCCGTTTTTCGGAGCAGATATATATGTCTAAAGCTGTGTCGGGTACGGGTCGGCCGGGTCCAGTCATGGATTTTTGTTTTCTTGGTTGAGTGGTGTGATTCTTATTGTTTTTATTACATTACATTACATTACATTAGTAATAATATAATATTTTTAATAGAATTGCATTAAACTATCCCAAGTAATAATGATGTTATGTTAGTTTTTAAATATATTATTATTTAATTAATGTTGAGGATGGAATTTTTTTTTTTTTAATATTTGTATTTATTTACAATTTCTTTGATCAACGGTATTTAACCCTCGCCCGTTTCCTGCCCGGGGCCAACTCTGAGCGAGGTGCTCGACGCAGCGCCGTCAGTCATCAGATCGAGCAACTGTCTCTCGTTGCTCCGTCATCTGTTTAGCTGGTAGAGAACCTCTCTGTATTTCTGGATGGCAACAATGTTTTAGGCGGATTCTGATGTGTTCGGCGGCGGGGTTTGATTGTTGGCTCAGGTTATTGTCTTGTGGTGGTTGAGGGTGATGTTAGTTTCTTTCTTTCTCCTCCTTGTTTCATGTCTTCCCTAGTGTTGGGTCAGTGGGTTTTTCCAGTGGATGCAGGTTTCATCTCTGATTGGGGGTTGACCTGCGACTGTTGGCTAGTGTTGGGAGTGGAGATTGGAAAGAGCCTCTAGTTTCTGAGAGGTCTTTCACTGGGAGAGGGACCTAGTCCGTTTGATTCAAATCTAGTTATGCGTATACATATTACAGTTCCTGGATTTGCAACTGAGCCCGTGTCTCTGTCCATGGGGGGTGGTCGCCCTCGAGTGTCGTTTTCGTGGTGTTACTTTCGAGTGGCTTGCCAGGTATGGAGGGGGCTTTATTCTAATATCTATTGTGTTTAGTTATTGTTTGTGTTAGTGTTTTATTTCTTACTTTCTAGAGATAGTATTCTTCACTTGTGCGAGTTTAGTATTCTATGTTTTTAGTCTTGTGGGTGCATTTAGTATAGTTGTTTCTATGTTGTTGAGGTGTTCGACATATAGGCCTCTAGCTGGATTTCTTATACCGTATCTATAATCACATCAAACTAGCTGCAGGTACGCAGTTCAATTGTTTTAACCGCTTTTTAATATCTATTTTCATTGGTTTTCATATTGAATTAATTTATTATTATTATTATTATTATTATTATTATTATTATTATTATTATTATTATTATAATATAAATTATGTATAAAACTAACTTTAGCAAATACTAAAATCAATTAAAATCTAATACAACGTAAATCTATTAGGATTAAGTGCATGTCTTTCAATTAATATCAATAAATTAATAAAAAGATATTAAAATAATTTACTTTATAAAGAAATCCAATATACTCAGATTTTAACCGATATTTTGGCTGATAAGTTTTGGTAAAACATATATTTTTTGATGTGAAACTGACATAAATCGATATTTTTGACAAAATGGTATTTAAAGGGTAACCGTGCTGATCAGACCACCTATATATGATATTAACAGTAATACTGGTAGGTACGGTACAATATTTAAAATATTGGTTTAATGTTCAAATTTTGACGAGGTAGCAGGTCGATGTTGGACAATGGTCAAAATGACGGAGCAATTTTAATATTTTGCCAACTCGTAAGTAATATTTATCTTATGTTAGTCATCTCAACATACCCAGTATACTCCCAACTGGTTGGGGTCTGGAGGTCAGTTGTACGCAGACCTTACCCTTATAATTATACAAGGAGGCTGTTTCTGTAGCGACCCAAGGTGCATTGCGTCGTTTGATATATTTTTTTTCTAGAAACTTCACTAATAGAAGAAGCACTAGAATTTAATTGAGTCACTTTGATTTAGTCCATTATTAGCACTATGCCAGACGAATTGTCAACAATGACTCTTCCAGCTCCATTGCAATGGACAAAATCTTATATTAGTCATCTACAAAATAAAAATAGTATACAATCCTGTATTACATGAGCTGAGTACCTCAAAGTCCAAAGTATAGTAAAAACTTCAGCCGCGTATAAGTATCCAAAACTAAATTTTTCTACCGAATACCTCAAAGTATAGTAAAAAGTAAAAACCAACTTCTACAGGCGCATATGAGATGCTACGGTCCTGTTACGGAACCACTCTGTCGGGGTTTGTAACTGTAAAATCAACTTCCTCCGATAGTTACATGATGATCCAACGACGGAACAGTTCCGTAATGAAACCGTAGCATTTCTGGTGTAGATTATTATTATTGTTATTATTATTATAGATATCTTAGATAATAAGTTAGAAAATAAATAATATTATTAGAGATATTGTTTTGTTGGACAAGTTAGGAATAGGGTTTTGGAGTCTTATTTCAAGGGCTCATCATATATTGTTTTAGGAAGTTGATTTTGAATAAGAAAATGAATTAATTGTGAGTTTTACGTATTTTTACGAGAGAGTATCTCGTTTACTCGTTTATCTTTCCCACTCGTACGCTTTCCCTACATCAATTTCCCTGCAATACAATTCATTCAAACCTTTAATTTCATCAAAAAAGTAATTTTTGATTCGCAGTTTTGTCTATGTATGCAATTCGAATAAATTGAATCACAAGCGGAAAAACTATTTAGAATAACTCAATCATCTATACTACTCTAAAAGGAGGAGTGTGTTTTGTAAAAATTCATAATGCCTAAAAAACTCTTACTTTGACATAAATTTTATGGCATACTATTCTAAAAGGAGGAGTGTTTTTGTAAAATGCCTAAAAAACTCTTACTTTGACATAAATTTTATGGCAAATTAGTAATTCACTAATACACATCATATTTTATTTATATTTTTAATTAAAAATGAACTACCTAAAAAATCCTTACTTTGACATGTTTTTAATGTCAAATTGGTAATATACCGATGTCATCAGATCTTATATTATTAATTAAACTAATATCAAATAATTAAATGCAAATAGATGAACAACTCATTCCACACTCCTAAAATAAAATTGTTTTCTTCCACATATCTTTAAAACTGTTTGATATAGAAACATTTTTTCAAAATAACCTATAAAAAATGTGTGATAGTATGAGAAATTAATTGTTGAAAACACTTGTAAAACTAGAAATCGATATTGTTTTTCTCATAACAACCACTAGATATTGAAACATTATTTACAAAATAACCTATAAAAAATGTGTGATAGTATGCGAGATTAATTGTTGAATGATTGTTCTGCAACATAAACTTCTAATCTATTCAATTTGTTTACTACATAAGATCAGAACAATTTTATGAAATTGTATAATATTAAAACTGTATCAATTTGTTTTCACGTCTAATGAGATACCACTTTAGCAATATGGATTAATTTTGACCATATAATTATCTATAAACTAATTAAAAATATCTCGAGAATCATGATATGCCTACACGTTGAAAATTAATTACTTTTTTATCAAAAAATTATATTCATAAATATGCATCATAAGTTACCTAAATATTCATAAAAAATAAACCCCCCTAACGGGGAAGGGGAAACCGAAAGTGCGCTCCTGCGCACCAGCTGAAGAAAGGAGATTGGTTGACACGAATAGATAAGTCATGTTATACTGTTGAATAACAAGCTTTCCATTTTTTAGTTCGATTTAGACTATAGGAAATTAGTGTGCTTGGGAGTCCCTGATGATTAAATAAACCAAGATTTTAATATTATTTTATTTGATTGAATTATTTATTTCTCTTGTTTATTTTGAAATTTATTCGCGGACTCTTTTTCCGAAATTGCAATTATCCATTCTATATTTAGAATTTCTTCTAACGACTTATGCATTTTCTTATCATTTCCAACCGAACAATTCATTAATCCAACTAGTGGAAGACTTTAAATGGATCCATTTTTTGATTTCCGTTGGAGATTAGGAATAAGTGGGCTCTCTATAGGACCCAAGGGACAGTCTCAGGTAGACAGTTTCTATGGGGCGTAGGCCTCCCAAAAGGTAACGGAGGCGAGAAATTCCTACCTCTCTATCTATCTCTGAGATGTTTGGATTTTTCAAAACTTCATGGACATGCAGAAGAGAAATGTGTTATTACAATAAAATGGTTTTTCAAAAAAAAAAAAAAAAATGTACGAAATAAAAAAATTATATATTTGAGTATAAATGAGAAGATTATAATTATATATAAAATAATATAAAAATGTAAAATTAATTGATATAAATAAGGCATATGACCTAAAAAGTGCTATACTTAATTTTATATATTTTTGTACAAACCGAAAAGTTACCCACAAACACACACGCACATTAAAAACATATGAAAGAACAATATAAAGTAAAAAATATTAAATCTGACAAATAATATTAAATTTATAATAAAGTTGTAACACTTACTAATAACTATGAAAAAAAAAGTAATAAATAAAAATATTATAATTAGTAAAAGTAATTATAGAACTTTTAAAATTGTTTAATTTTTTGCGCTTATTAGTTATGTATATAAATTTTAGATGATAGACATCAGTTATTTATACTTTTATCCATGAAGGCTAGAAATTTATTTTTTTTAGAAGATTAATTATTTTGATTTTAAATAACGTTTTATTTGCTATTAGTTTTTTAATATAATATATTAATGGCATATTTTATATATATACAATAATACTTTTCGTTATATAATATGTAAATGCAAGAAATGTAATTCAACAGATAAATTAATAGGTAATTTTGCGATAAAGTAATGAGCAATTTCTACAAATTATATGGATTACCAAGCTCACTTGTTAAATATATTTTTAATATAAAAATTATAAATACAATTATTTAATGACAGAAAATCCTAATAAAAATTATAATATATAAAGGAATAAAAAATGGTACATTGCAATGAAAAATCCAACGGTAAGACATTAACTTTTTTTTCCAAAGACATCACTGTAAGACATTAACTGGAATTTTTAAATGATATTTTATTTGTATATCTGTCATTGTAAAATTGCATTGACTATTTCAACAGAGATCAAATTACATTATTTATTCTTGTGTAATATAATTTTTTCAATTATCATTATTTATTACTGCGTGAATTTTTGTTGAAAAAAAAATCGGGTCATATTTCAACAGTTTAAAAAATGTCACTAGAATTGTAAAAATTTCAATAGAAGTTCTATTCGAAATCTACCTGCAGTGGTGGATACAAAATAATTTCATACTTGAGGCATTATTTGGTTAATAGAAAAAGTATACCATTAAAGTAACATAATGTCATTATAATTTATAAATTATATTTTTCATAATTTGTCATCTTTCTCATCTGTAGTACATGTTTAACATATCAATATAATTACAATTAAAAAAAAACATAACTTTTCTCAATTCAACATAAGCAAATCGATGAAAATAATATATTTTTAAAAAATTTATGAACAAAAGTTGACTCGACAATATTATTAATGAATTTATGAATTGTAAATATTTAATTAAAGTATTAATTAAAAAATTGTAATTAAATATAATATAATATAGGATATACAAATATTTTGATATATAATGAGACAGATGATCGAAAAAATTCTATACTTTGTATTATGTCTTTTTTGACAAATCTACAGTTAAGAACATGTGAAAGAAAAAAATAAAGTTTTAAAAAAATATGAAATATAAGAAATAATATGAATAATAACTAAGTTGTGACACGTACTAATAAATATAAAACAAACTAATAAACAAAAATAATATAATTAATATAACTGAATATAAACCTTCTAAAAATATACTTATCGATGTAATTGGACTGAGTTGTTAAACGCTTGTTAATTTTTTGTTCTTATTAATTTTATTTGTTAATTTGAGGTGATAAGACAATAATAATTTGTAAATTTATCCATGTAGATTAGAAAAAAAATCTTTATTATTCTAATTCTAAATAACTTTTTTATTTACTATATTACGTTTTTTAATATAATATAAAAGTATCATATTGAACATATAAAACGAGAACTATTTTAATTATATAATATTTAATATGTAAGAAATGTCACTCAATTGGTAAATTACTAGGTAATCTTGAGATAAAATAATGAGTGATTTCTGAAAAAAAAAAAATTATAAGAACTAAAAGGTTCACGTGTTTAATATATATTTAATAGAAAAATTGTAAACACAATTACTCAATAAATACTACATAGAAAATAATGTTTGAGAGGACTACAAAAATTGCTATACTGCAATGAAAAACTCAACGGTAAGGTATTCTACTGAAAATTTCCACGAATATATTGCTTTCATTGGAAAATTTCATTGGCTATTCCATTAGTGTTCAAATTAAATTACATGAACTTTATTGGATTCAAAGATTTCAATTACATGAATTTCTATTGAAATTTTGTTTGGACCATATTTCAATCGTTGAAAAAATTATCATTGGTATTATGTAAAAATTCAATAGAAGTTCCATTGGAAAGATAATTGCAGTGATAGATCCAAAATAATTTCATATTGGGAGCATTATTTAGTTAATAGAAAAAAATATACCATCAAAATAACATGTCATTGCAATTTATAAATTATACTTTACATAATTTATCAACTTTCTCATTTGTAATACATTTTAATAAATCTATGCAATCACAATAAGGTAAAATATATTTAAGAAACCAAAAGTCAAGATTTTTCTTAAATATACATAAGAAAATCGTTATATTTGTTGTATTTTTTGTTGGAATTTTCTCATTTTCTTGTAGTAAAACTAGGACTCCAAATCTATAAAAAAAAAATGCATTATATATAATATTGTGTGCAATTATTATTATGAAAATTTTGATACGATAGAAAATATAACACATTTAATGTAATTGACTTTCAATTTATGATAAGAAGTAATTTTTTTCAAAACAAACAAGATACTTTGAAAGATCCTTAATTATTTTATTAGTATTATAATAACTAAATAAGGGGTAAGAATGATGACAAAACTTATATCTCTCATTAAATCCAAAAGTAAAAATGTTGATAAAATTACTTAATGTACAATATCAATTGAAGCTGGCTAATGAGAAATATAAAACATACTTAAGATACACACATATTTTAACTAGAAATTTTAAGTACATAATATATATATATATATATATATATATATATATTCATATGTATATTTCTTTAAAAGTGTGTATGTTAATCTTAAAATTTTTTAGTTAAGATTTTTATTACTTTCTATCATTAAATTTTTTAATTTTAAAAAATACTTCATATTTTTTATTTGTTACCATTATATATATAATATATCACATCATTTATTTTCAATGATGTTTGAGTTGACCCATATATTGCAATAACATAAAAATAATTTAATTATTTATATTGATATAAAATTATATATATATATATATATTAGTAATAATTTAAAATAATAAATTGGTGTTAAAGTATATAATGTAATAAATTTTATATTCAAGTTAATCAATTTTATTAAGTATAAAATAACATAAGATAAACTTGTGGTATGTTTTCATACATAAATTTGAAACAATTCATATTATAAAAAAAAAAAAGTAAAAAAATGGGTGTAAACATCTAACTGTTCCCACGTTTTGGCTAGAGCGCCCAAATCCGATATATGTTTGACACGAGTTTGTCGTAATGCTGAAACTATGGCACATGCACCTTAGGGTACAAACGAAGCGAAGCAACGTAAAGTCATAGATAAAAGGAAAGACTAGGTAAGAGAAAAGAAATGAAATAACATTAGCTATGTGAAGTCAATTACTGCTGGAAAATGAACCCTATAATGGTGGTACCATATATGTATTCAGTGATTATGAAAATGACTTAGTTAATTAATATTTTATCAAACATTGAAAAAAATTCTAAACTTTTTATTCTATTAATTCGTATAAAAAGTACAGCTTTATCAAATATATTACATTACATTTAATCTTATGTGATTATATTAATTATAGTCTAATAAATAAGATAATTTGATAACATTATTATATAAAACACATACGAAAAATACTGTAATACGTATAAATGTGCTTTAATTACTTAGCAAATAAAATATTATTTGTCTATAGAATAAGAAACAAATAATATAATAGTAATGCAATGAGAAAAAGAAAACGTGCTAATTTTCTTAGAAAAGTATGAATACCAACATTTACAAACAAAAAGTCTTTTAAAATTACTACTTTTTTGTTGCTAGCGTTTAAATATATGGACGAAATTGATTCTCATAAATAATAATCATATATTATTTATTTTTAATTTTAAATAATTAAAAAATCCAAAAATTTGTATACATGATGTATATTATAATCATGACTCCATAATAATAAACTTTACAGATGACTAAAAGTATCGTCCTATAATGGAATTCTAATTCTTCTGCTGTCAAATATTTTAACAAATGATATGCTTCTCAATATTTTCTCATTGTTTTGTTTGTTTTGTTTTATCATTACAAAAAATAGATTATATTGTTCGTCTATATTCTAAATAAATAACACTGAAAATGAAATGTATGAGTATCAAAATAGTTTTGAATGTTAGAATGAAGTTGTCATTTCTTATAGAAATATTTATAATCTCATTGGTGTATTGCGCTTGAACATATGTGCAATTTCTTTAGAGGTATTTTCAGGTAATGTATGGTGATTTCAAATAATAATTTAGCACCTCAGGAGAAGTACATGTAACCCAAATTTTGGAAAGTCAACTTTTATTTGGAGATAAAATTCATTCCCACCTCGTAGGGCGATGCATCAATAGGGTAGACACCTATATATCTAGAGACAGAGGAATGTAAAATTAATTAAGAGGAATTAGTAGTTTATACAGTGATTTAAAATATCAGCAATTTTAGTGACACCGTTAGTTATTTCATAGAGATATTTATCATTTGTTAGTAGAAGTACCTTGTTATAAAGATCATGCGATCATGAAATTTGATTATATGTTGGGTCAGAATGTTTCTTAAGTGTTTGAATAAAATTGGCGTTTTGCCAAATTAATTAAGAGAAATTTTGCAATATTATTGATGTATTGAATTCCAACGACTATGAATGTTCTTATGAAAACATCAAAACCAAAATGAAAGAAAATCTTTGTGTTTTTTTTATTAGGGATTTGTTTTTTATATATATTTTTGTTAGGGGTTGTAAAAAGTTATTTCACTCCTTTTTATATGAGGACATCATTACGTTAATTCTAAATAAAAAAATCACATATGAGTTCATTTTTTATATATTTTACTTCATTTCTGCAATGATATGTTTAATAAATTAATTAATTTATTTTGCAAACTTACTCCGCGAATATCATTCGACACCACGTGCATCGCACGTGCACTTTACTAGTACCCTAAGGAAAGCAAGAATATGACAGGCAGCACCCCCCAAAAGTAATTTTCATCAGCAGAATGTACACTCATCAAAATACATTCAACCACAAACCCACCAACCCCTCAAAGCAAAAACTCCCTACTATATTATTGCCACAACATTAAATGAAATATATTCTATGTATAAATCTAAAAAAAAAAAAAGAACAGTGTACAATCATGCATTATCACCAAAAACCTTTTCACCTGTGTATAAGGTATCTGAAACTAAAATTATGAGGCATCACTTGCACCAGGTTTGACAGAGGCTCTTTTAACCTTCTCTCAACACATTTTACAGCTTCGTCTCGAATATCATCTGGCAGCTGCAAACAAATCCAGTCGAGCAACGAATCCAAATCCTTCGCAAAATCGAGAAGGTACCAATCGAGCAGCTTGGGAATAACTATCTTGTCCGAAGATGACACGAAAATTGCCCCTTGTAAATAGTCCCTTTTGGCAGCTTCTAACTCTATCTCGATTCGAGATGCAGTGTACACCTTCACCTAAAAATGAGAGACAAACTATACATTTTTAAGATCAAAAGCACATTTGAATTTTAGCTAATGTTTCTATTACAATAAATCACTTTCTTTTTTTTCACAAGTGAAAAATCTTTTCTCCATAAAACAAGAACTTACAGCTGGGGAAGACCAGCTTCCACATGACAGTGCAAACGTGACGAGAGGTTCGGGCCAATCCAAACCGAGTGTTTTGCATATTGTCCTTTCATTATTTTTGGCTGATTTTAAGCAAGTCTGCAAACGATAATCGCGCAAAACACGATATGTGCATAAGTAATAAATAGAACTGCTGTTTTAGCAACAGAGCTATATATGAATGGAAAATAAGGAAGCAACTTACGTATTTCAAGTGATATGGAAGTCTCAATATAAGGTGTTCGATCATAACTGGGTTTAGCTTATGTCCACCGGCGTTTATTGTTGCCTGTAGAAGAACCACTGATTTAATATTTTTCATGAAATTTCGTGCTCGTTAGTTTATATAAATGAGTTTGTGAATTGAGGATATATCCAAGTGATGATAGTAGCTTATCGACTAATCTGAAGGGAAGTAAGTACATAAAAGAATAAATGAAAGAACAACAATAAGAATTACACAGCAACATTTAATAATAAAAAAAAGTATACGAAGTGATGGAAAGCCTAACCGTTTGCATTTGATCGACAATTTCCTCAGGACTTTCGGGTATTCCATGATCCAAATAAGCCTGAAAATAAGTTACTAAAGAATTAAAGGGCTCCTCTTTTTTTTACTACAAAAAGAAGAATCTTTAAGAGGCTGCTCACCTTCATAATGGAGGCATTGTATATGTTTATCCAGAATGCAAGCTTCTGATGATGGCTTAGACCATCTAACCTCACAGACGACAGCTTGTCTAGAAGAATCCTGAAATTTTGAATCGCAAAGCGAAAAAACTAATGAAAAATAAAATAAAGCAGCAAAGCTGCGAAAATCTTTATACGAATTACACAAACAAAATAAATCGGCAACAAGAAATGATCATAAACCTGTGTCCAGAGGAGGCACTTACTTAAGCCTCTGGATCAAAAAGTACGCATTTGTTTTCCGTTTAAGATCAATTGATCGAGCTTCTATTACATAAAGATATTTTTCCGTTCCAATGTCTATCTTCTTGGACTCGGACAAATCGCAATTCGGATCCCGAAAGTTCGATTCCTTGTTATTCTCATCGAATGATGCCCTTGCTGCCAAAGAGGAAAAATATTCCGAATCCATTTTCTTCCCTTTTGACGAGCTCAATCTCACGAAGATATTGATCAGACAGTTCAATATATCCTCGGACAATGTGTTTGCCTCACTATCGGCATCAACAACTCTACCATCAGACGAACCAGAAGACGTCTCTTGTGCTTGTTCTACAATTCTACACTGTACAAAAAGTATCATCACATAAAGAATTCACTATACATGTGAGAGTGTATAAATAACAATGTTAGAAAGTTCAAAAAAAAAAAAAAAAACACCTGCATTTTCGGAGAATTCGTACGTCTTTTGACAGTGTTTTTCATTTCGGAGGATTTCTTTCCGGCATTCGGTTTACTCTCCTTGCAAGAATTCGCACTCCGTTTATTAATCGGTGGGCTCTCATGAGTAAAATGCCTCGAGCAATCGGGCACACTATTGGAAAACAAAATCTTCCTTATCGAAGCAACTCGAGAGAGAGAAGGAGAAGGCGAACGGCAAGGCCTCGTTTGGATTGATCCAAAATTAGCATCACCTCGAGACGAGGATCTTGAGTGGCCTCGTTTAAAGCTACCTATCGACAGCTCGTTATTCGCATTTTCCAAATTCACAATCCGCTCTTCTAAACGTACGACTTCCTCTTCTAAAACGGCCACCTCAGCTAGAAGCTCGAGTGTCTACAAAATATCACATATGCCAAACAGAGAATTATACAACAAATTCGAACACACTGATATCAAAAACAAGAAAGCTTAGCTTACATATTGAGGGAGATACGCAGGGAGACGAGGCAGAGCCCCTAAGGGTCTCGTGAAAGCCCTTTGCAAAGCTCTGTGGACATTTTCTTCATGTCTTAGTTTCTTCTTCAGATTATCAACCTGTAAAATTTCGAAAAAAAAATAGTTTTTATTAAACAAAGATAGAAAATTAGAACAGAATCAATCAAACTTTTGAAGAAAACTAGAGTACATCTTGTAATAAGGCCATTTTTCGTTCTTTCCCCGACCGGCGCCTGTCGGCCATTGTTGTTTCCTCTGCAGTTTGTGGTTTGATTCTCTGCACTTCCATCTTTTTTCCCTGCAAAAATTGAAGGTAGATAAAATAGATTCATTTCTTGAGTTTGCAAAAAAAAAGGTGCCCAAATACAGATATTTGGCTATAAAGGGACCAACTTTATCAGTGACAGTTCACAAACCACAATATATGGCCATGATAAATCCAAAAGGACTGTCTTCTTCTTGAAAAAAGAAGAATCCCACAATCTATGGCTATTGTAAGAAACTTGGGGAAAACGGGTGCGAACCCACTAACATGAAGTGCATCGTGAGAGGGAAACACCCATATGAAGCCCAAGTGGGGTTCCATCCCAAAACCAATTGGTGGGAGGAAGAGTAGCCCATTAGACTTATAAAGTGGGTCTATTTTTCATGTATGAACGATATGGGACAACTCACAAGTGATATTCTACGGCCATGATAAATTCAAGAGTGTTCATCATTCTTGAAGAAGAAACAGAGAATAAAAAGGGATAAAATGGATCAAGAATAATTTTTTTTTTTTTTTTGCAATAAACTTAAAAAAAATAAAAATAAAGATCTACTCACATTTTCATGAGGATGCAAAGGTGCTGCTTTTCTTGAGTTAATATTGTTATTGTCCCCAGCTCTTCTCTGCATCTGTTCTTTTAGATTCCCATCAACAAAGAATGTGAAACAAATCTCAAGCTAAATAATAACCTGTACAAAATCAAGAAACCAAAATAAAATAAAACAGAATAAAATAAAATAAAAACTAGCCCATGCCCATCATTAAAGATTCAATTTTTATTTTATTTTTTTACTTTGACACAGAGAAGGAGCGGGAAAAAAAGAGCTGAAAGGTGAAATCACTTCAAATGGGAGCTCTTATTTTTTTTTTCAGTTTGATTAGAGAGGTATCTTAAATGGAAAAATCTTGAAGGGCGTGAAAAAGAGTGGCATTATTATATTATCTTTAAATTTTTATTTATTTATTTTTGTTTTGGCTGGCACTAGACAACAAATGACTCTGAAAAACTGCAGCAACTGATTCTGATTGACTGAGATGATACAGAGGACGAGGCGGTTTTATGAAGGATGTATGAATGAACCGTAAAATCAGCATATTTTGAGCCCAAAAATGGGAGATGGTTGTTACTTGTTATCCCCTATATAGACATGGCCACGGGTTGACCCGGTCCGCCGAACCGGCCCGAACTCGGACCGAACCCGGCCCGGAAAATCCGGTTTTCGAACCGGAACCGGCCTTGTGGAGGGCCGGTCCCGGGCCTCCTTCGATCCAAAAAAAAAACGGCGGGCCGGTTCGGGTTCGGGCCGGGTTCGCGGGTTTTGAGCTGCCGATTTTTTAAAAAAAAAAATTGGCCGGGTTGGCCCGGCCCGGACCAACGGTCAAAAATTTAAAAAATTCAAAAATAAAAAATAAAAAAAAAATTAAAAAAAAAAAGACCGAACCCGGAAACCCGGCGGG